GCGTCCATACTTGGACGAGCAAGTGAAGTGTTCGCTGCGTGTGTTCTAGGCTTCTGACTGGACATCGCTCGTTGGAGACCCCTGGTTCCTGATCAAGATCCCTGAAAGGAGGAACACATGTACGCCGTCAGCAGCCACCCGCACCTTTGTTCGAAGAAGAGCTCAGAATAGGGTTGGCCGAGACATCTGAGTCCAAGCCTTCACGAGTCGTGGAACCCCGCATCCTTGGTAGCGGGAAACGCCACATGATTTTGTGGCTCGGCAAGATATCTCAAACATTGAATAATTGCTACCAAAATTGAATAAGTGTATCCGTAGATCGGCGACATTATGAGGTGGAAAAAGAGAGAGGAATCCCGGGCGGCAAGAGACAAGATACCTTGGTACTTAGAAGCGGTAGGAGCCCCGTGAATCACATGCTGCGGGCAGTATACGTATCGGAGTACGTACTCTGAAGATACCCGCTTTTCCACCTCAAGGCGGGCCTCTCCGAAATTCCCGCCGGCAAGTGGGGGCTCGAGCCGTAGTAGGTGCAGCCTATGATCCGAGCGTCTTCCCATGGCACCGATAACGTGATAAGGTAGTGGGCCCTCCTGCTTTAGCGATGCTGACATGATCCAATTCCCCTGCCCTTTCGGAGCGGAGATGGTGGGATGGCAACTCCCCGAATGTCACCTCTGGCCTTTGCCTCTCTTTCCTGTCAGCCAGGACTCTGAAGCTTCGCACGATTCAGTAAAGTAAGAAGCGGGGGGCAAGCTCTTGAGTATTCCAGATTCCAGCCCCATGATCTCCATTCGTGATCAAGCTTAACTTACACAACCGTCATCCTACCGTCACAACCTTCTCCAGTGCGGCGTGCCCAAGTTGGTTGTTTTGCCGTTCCATGCTACGAAATCCCATCCGCGTAAACCTTCTTGACCCTGGAACTCAGCTAGCACTCCGCTCTTCCAACGTCCTTCCAGACTTGTACTGTCCTGCAGGCTAGCCAAGACGGGATCAAAGGCAACAGCACAAATCACGAGAGATTCAGGCGCTACATCAACTCAAGTAATTCCTGTACTACAACGGAGTCTCAAGCCTTTCATTTCCACCACCCTTGTTACCCTCGAGTCTCGCGGCGGCAGAACAGCAGTATCCTACCTAGGCTCGGGGCCGCTGCCGAGATCTTGTCTGATGTGGGGTGATGGATCAAAAGCTCTTCCTTCTGATGCTTGTCTACGGAGCACCGACATTGACTTTCGTCCTACCCAGCAATTGATGGGCCACAAGTGCTTTACAGCTATTGACAACACAGGCACTCGGACACACCCACAGGCTACGCAGCACTGACCACTGCTGCAGTCATTCAATAGCTTGAGGGCTACAACAGCAGCCTTGACCGAAATAGTCATGTCACACAACACACTGCCAGTGTGCTCGCCGTTGGGCCATGCGTTAGGCTACCGCCCAACCTCCACCACCAAAATTCCCACGATGGCATCGCTTGCTGAAAGGGGGAGGTGACCATCAAGGTACGGCTCTGAACCGGACAGACTGGGAAGGTTCAAAGCTAGTGGCCTTCTGGAAGGCAGTTTAGGCATGTCCTTGGAACCGCAGTCACGATTTCTTGCCAAAGAATGGTGGCATCCTCTGCAGAACCAGTTCTAGCCTCCCCGCCTCTACCGACCTGCCACACTCGACGACCCCAGCCAGGAACCACCGGCATTCCAAGAACCTACAAATGCTTGGCTCCCATCTATGCCAGGGTTCTTCAGCACTACCGCTTTACTGCTGCGAGATCACTTTTGCCAAGACAAACAGCTGGTGGCGTGGTTTCCTCACCTTCCTTTCACGACGATCACTCGAAAACGCCGTCATGAACCGCGAGTAGCCTTAGAACACTCGTGACTCGGGTTCCGGATCACATCACATACTATCGGGCTCTATCGAATCCAGGACGTCCTACCTCAATACGATGATGGTCACGACATCGTCGCACAATCTCATGCTCCGGTGGCATCAATCCCGATGGCCTGAGACTTCGGAGATATGAACGGTTACGATATGTCTCGGATGCCGCCAAGACCTGGCCTTACCTGGAGTATCCATATACTTCCAAAGTCAAGATCCCCGACTTGAGGAACAATGCAACATCGAGGATCCGGAGTAAGATCCGGCCGAGTTCGCCGTTACACCCAATCGGGATCCCTACGCCGCACTTCCAGCCCCAGCGTGTCACGCCGCAAGGTAGCTACGCCGACGGCGTTCCGCCCAGCTGAAGCCTCGCCAATGGCACTTCAATGTCTCGGCGTGCAGCCGACGTATGATGGCTAATAAGCGCCTTCCTAAACCTCACCCTCTCACGCAGGTGAATAGCTCAAAAGAGATCACTCGCCATCTCCGAAAGTTATGACGAGACGCTATTACTCTGTCTTGGATATTCAGCTCGCCGTACCTGCCTTGTTGAGCAACACTAGAAGTAAATTCCGACAGCCTCAGCATTACAGCTACCATCGCTAGTGTATTTCCACTTCCTCAAACTCCTTCCATTTCATCAGACAGCTCAGGCTCCTCCCCTCGTTGTTCCCGTCGTCTTTGCCGCTGTCTATGACCTTGCTCTGGTCTCTCAACGACATCATTTCCTTCCAGTCCTTCTCCGCGGCAATCGCGACAAAAGCCCTCGACCGGGAGGACGCGGTTCATCCACTGGTGAACCCAGGTGTTTCGTGGGCATGGTCTTGCTCCATCCCTGACACGTTGGCATTGTTCGTCTCGAAAGCAGACACCCAAGTGCATGCATTCGGACTCGCCAGTGAAGTAGTATTTGTGGCACATCCTTTATTCTGAGTATGGGTGCTTGATGTAAATCTTGTATCTGACTTCGATGGAATTGTGAGACGTGCGGCTTGAGATCAGATTTCATTGATCTTGGGCATTCCTGACTGACTAATTCTTTGTCCTTGCGATCTCACATGCAGCTTCAGAGAATATGAAGCTTGAGAGAGTCAATAATGTCTAGTCAGGTCTGCAACTTATATACACTTAGCTGCAAATTGGAAGCGGCTAGGATCAGACTTGCTCCAGTGAATGTGTATAATTGGTCATCATGTAGATTCATCAGTCAAACGGCGTCGATCCATTACCTTTCACTAAGATCATGATCTGCTGATGTGATTCAGCAAACTCAGTTTTGAATGCAAGCAGCACCTATGTTGTTTTGCAGGGTGAGTCCGATGTGAATCAGCAGAGTTTGCCACACAGCCTATATCCATGACATGACATGTATCACGGGCGGTGCTTCAATCTTGATTGTTGACTGCCTCGTGGTAAGACTGCTAGACTCATCAACGATTCTGTACGGGCTGTTCCGGCAAAAGAATTACTGATGAGTAGATTTTGGGCATACGAGTTCGATAAGTACATAATTTCAGGTTCACACATCCTGATCATGTAACTCTTTGGCTCATAGGAAATAGATCTGATCGCATGGAATTGCTTCATGTCAGGATTCATATTCACATGGATTAAACGGATTCAGGACTAGATTTAGTGAAACAAAGTCCCTAGCTTTAACAGAATCATCCAGGGGTCATGCCGTATTTCTGAACACCCATCCTGAGCGATTCTTAATCTATTTAGAGAAGTATCTACATATAGGTGACGACGCGAACGCTCTGTGCCTATCACGAGACTTGCTGGCGCAAAACGATCTTAGAACAACAATGACATGAATGTGTTCCTTAAGAAACGAGGCATTTCCATACTAATTTCTATAGTTGTCAAGATGTATAGAATGCCTCGAGACCCTTGGTAAGTCAAAGCACCCACTTATGGGCACCCCCCCCTTTTGGGCACCCCATTTACACCAATAGTACTACTTTTCACTATGGGTCTAATAAATCGGCTTCTCAATAATAAAATTTAATATTTTATATTCAAGTAGAAACTTATTTATATTTCTCATAAAAAAATACTATATTACGTAATACTACTTAAATAAGTAGTTTTATAAAGTTAAAGTTAAAGTTTTAAAAATGTTAGTGTTTATATATAAATTACTAAGTAATACTAACAATTTAAAAACTTAAATAACTTTTATAATTATAATTTAAAAAAGAAATAAAAGCTATATTAATATTATTTAAACTAACTTTTATTAAACATATACTTTATATTTTAGTTTTATTATATTATTATATAATATATTTAGTTTTAAATTTCCCTATATAAAATTTAGTATGAGAAACTTTTAGCTTATTATTACTAAGCTATAAAATATTATAAAAATATAAAAAAGCTATTTATATATAATTTCTATATATAATTTAAATATATTATAGTTTTAGCTTAAAAGATATAATAGTTCTTACGTAATTTATATTTTAAATATTACTTCTTAACTATGTATTTTTTAAATCTTATATATTTAATATAATTACGTAATAATAAGCTAATATATATTATTATAAATATAATAATATAAAGATTTAGTTAATTATGTATATAAATTAATTTTTTTTATATTTTATATATAAAATAGAGCTAGTTATATATATAGTATAAAGTAGTAGGTTTTGGTGTAGCCCCACCAAAACTAGGGTGCCCAAAAGGGGGGGGTGCCCATAAGTGGGTGCTTTGACTTAGCGAAGGAGGAACCAACAAGCAGTAGGTTGAACTCAATTTGTGCCTATTCTCGCTTGATTTTCGTTAGGATACTGGAATACTGTAATGAATCTTGCAAACCTCTCCTTATTCGAAGCGATGCCAGTGCTTTTCCCACTCCTTATCGCTACTGACTTTTGTGGATATCTGGTGAACTACAAACAACGTGAAACGCGTTAGCCCGGCATTAATGCTTGATTGTCTAGCTCGCGAATTTGTAGCACGTGCATCGATAGGATGTTTTCGGCCCTTCGGATAATTGCCATCCGCGCCAGAACAAAGGAGCAGCCGTAAGTTTCCGACCGCGAAAAGTTACATGCGACTTGGCCTCTGCAAATACTCAACGCAATTTCGGCAACATGATCAACTCTCCACCACCAAGTGCGCTCGAAAATCTGCCTGCAGATATACTATTGGGCATCATTTCTTTCCTCGAATCTTTGAGCGATTTAAATACGCTTGTCAATGCGTCTTCGTCGCTGCGGAGATTCTTCATAGCGGAACGTCGGCGCGTCATCCGACATATTGTTCACCGCGATGCTGCTGCTGTCCTCAAAGATGCTGTGGCTCTTGCAGTTATCCCAAGAGCTGGTCAGTCTGGCAACAATCATGTATGGGAGGTGGTGAGCGCCACCAAGCTATATGCGATATTTCGGGATGACCTCGACGCAGGCACAGCAGACATATCATCCATATCTGCTGATCATTTGATCGAGGCTACGCGATGCGACTTTATAGCTCGGGACTTTGTCACTCTGTATACAAAAGTTCAGCGACAGCAATTATGGACCTTGGACTCAGAGGCAGCCAAGCCACTCACGAAAGATGAAGAAGACCGGCTCGTGCTTGCGTGCTTGCGGTATCAATTGCTTACACAAGTTTGTCGCGACCGCGTAAGTGAAGAGACAACGATGGAAGTACGGGCAATTTTGAATCAATGCTTCACGCCTTGCCAGATAGAGCAAATCGCTGGAATTCACGACTTTGCAGGCAAACTACATCAATTCTTCGTCTCGCTTGATGCCTCAGATGAGTTGGACCCGCAAAATACACATGTTTTCTACGATATTACGGTATTCCGACAGATACTAAGCCGTGCACTCACCACGAGCCAAGAAACAATCAAGATCTTTGCGGCTTCTTTGACACAGTTAAAGTGCCTTTCGGATCATCAAATTCTCAGGGGAGGTCACCAAGTACCCAGTAACTATATTTTGGAGTACTTCCCAGTGGTTTCCTCACAGCTGGACCTGACCCTCCACACGCTCTTGTCCCATGAATATGAGATTAGACGGCTGCGAGATGTGATATACGGTTACGAAAGAAGGCTACCGGCAATCACCACTGGCGACTTGAAAACAGACCCTCCTTTCGCTTGGGTCGACGCGCACGCTGGTTTAGATTGCCGCCGATGGGGCTCAGAGTTGCTGCAAAATTCACCAGACCACGTGGGTATAGACAGCACGCGGTTGGATCGGGTGAAAGCCACCGTTGAAGCATGGAGGCAGCTTGGCTTCTTGTACTGGGATCAAGATCGCGTTCAGCTTCTGAAGGGGTCTCTTTTGCAGTATCGAACGGGGTGGCTTAGAAATGTATGGGACAGGGCAGATGTCTTCTAGCATATCACGGATTTTGCGTGATGATAAAAGGCACGATATCGTAGACTTAGAATAAATCAGAGAGCCCGAAGCGAAGATCTTTCTTCTAAATTTGCATCAGCTACCCCGGCGAAGGTCTTCGCACCTGGAAGATGATTCCTCCATGTCACCAAGAGGAACCTGCTCATCAATGGAGGAGTTTGATGGTCGAGTTTCGAGTGCCCTGTCGATGAAGATTGCTGTTAATCACAGGGTAACACTGATGGCACTAAACTTGGCGGTTGCCAAGAGCTGAGTATGTCTACCCCAGACTCTTACCCCAAGACTTCCATACAACCATACAGCAACTATGTGTAGGGCTTGGGCTGTTGCGACCTTTCAGCCTCATAAGGATATGGTGCATGTACGCTGCAGTCAAAAACATCACGGTTAATTTCTTAGGCCATTAAGAGTCATCTCGTGCACAATGCACTGCTCTCTAGCCAGACCGATGCTAATGTAGCCAAGTTCTTTTGAAAGAGCCACAATACCCATAGATATTATACTCTGGTCCGAAACTTTCCGTCTTGAAATTGACGGGTCAACCCCTGACAATCTCACCGCATTTTCTATGTCTCTCTGACCTCGCGCCGCAGAAGGACGTTATAGCCAAGGCGTGTGGTCTGAACCTGACGCTTCTTGCTCATAGAAGGTGATTATAGAAGGCAACTGAAGTCCGAAATACATCCTCTAAGCGCCATCGTCTGCCAGATCCCGGCAATGATTGTTACCGTGGAGAGTTGCCAGTTTTGCACCATTCGTTGCGTTGTCCGGTCGCTCTGCTAACCCAATTCTCATCTCGAAGCGCATGAGCAGTTGCGCGACATCGGCGTTGCCGTCCAACTTTGTTCTTTTAGGCTAGGAGAGAAAGAAGCCGTCTTTCTGCCGGTTAGATGCCCAGGGCAGAAATTCAAAGTCGTGCCCCAAGCTCGCCTCGTCTTCCTCTCCACTATCAGGAGCAATAAAGTCACCGATTCTTCAGGCAAAATGGGAGCTAGCGCCGAATAATATTGACCGGGGCCCGCACCGCGCGCCGCGCGGACAGTGACATGAAGTTTAAGACTACTAAGCCTTGCTCTGTGAGAACCGAGCCGGCTGTAATTCCAGCCGGGTTGAATTTGTAACAGCTCGCAAGTCGACTGTTCGCAACGCACCTACTCTCGTCAAATTCCGGTCACCGCTCGAGGCGACTAGTGCTCACACTCACAGTCCTAGCGCGCGCGGGAAAGAACAAGCCTTTTGCCGCCGAGTCAGGGACTCAATGAAGCAAGGTCGTCAGCCCGTTCATCTCAAGCAAGCCGGACAAACCGTGTAGCAAATCAATATGATGTGGCCCCTGCTAGAAGAAGACTCTTGTACTCGCTGATAATTTCAACAACGCAGTGGGTCGGCGTGGGGATGAACAACGTGGCAAGTCGAGCCACCCGCGCCGCTTACAAAGTCCGAGATATTGTGTCCATATAATAGCTTCAACCATTCAGTCGATCAGCAACATATTTTCCACATCCATTGATGCGCGGTGGGATAGCCAAATGGTCGATTCAGTGGTGATACAGTCGTTTCTCAGCATTGAAATCAAATACAGATTGAAGCTCATAATCACAATGTTGTATAATTAACTTTCTCACATCGTGACGAATGACTCGCTGGGTGCACATGTTCAGTCCGCCTTACAGGGGTAAGGCTTTGAGAGTCAGAGTTCAGTCAAGTCAAAAGCCAATTCCCCAAGCTAAGGTTCGCGGTGATTAGCCACAGGACAATGGCCCCCACAAGTGAGAATGAAGCTCATTTCCTACATGCGATGAACTCGGGAACCGGCGAACAGTGAGAAATCTTAATTGATGAAACCATCTGTGTGTTCGTGCCATCTGGTTGGGACTCGGCATTTTCGGGTGTTATTCGTCAACCGTGCAACCGTTCGTATTCTGTCCCAGTGCTTTAGGTGAACTTGTATTTAGGCCGTGATCATCGCTTCCCGTCTGTCTGTTCTGTCCTGCTCTCACCAACCCACTCTGTCACTCTTTCACAAGCCTGTCCACCACTTTGACTTTCTAAGTCTGTCCATTCTTTCTAACACGAATAATCACCAATAATCTCTTACCTAATCAACTTCAACCGCCAAAATGCAGTTCTCCATCTTCACCGTCATCGCCGCTGCTGCCAGCTTCGCTGCTGCTCTTCCCGTAAGTAATCTACCGAGCTAGTCTCGACTTGAAAAGACACCAGCGCTAACACAACCTTCTAGACTGCCACCTCCACCACTGCTGCCGCCGCTCCCTCCGCCACCTGCGGCAAGCTCGGCAACTTCCACAAGACCACCGTCAAGGCCGGCCAGACCTTGACCATCATCGCCCAGCGCTACAACTCTGGTATCTGCGACATCGCGTGGCAGAACAAGCTCGCCGACCCCAACGTCATCTACGCTGGCCAGGTCCTCCTTGTCCCCGTCGACGTCTGCGTGCCCGACAACACCTCCTGCATCAAGCCTTCCGGCACCGCTACCTGCGTTACCGGCGGCGCTGCCACCTACACCATCAAGTCTGGTGACACCTTCTTCGTTGTCGCCCAGAGCCTCGGCATCACCACCGACTCCCTGACTGGTGCCAACCCCGGTGTCGTTCCCGAGAGCCTCCAGGTCGGCCAGGTCATCAACGTCCCCGTCTGCTAAATGCTCCGTGGACGTTCGACAAGGACCTCACGAACTACATGTTTACCTGAGAAGTGAGCAATAGTGAGGCTAGAAAATATCAATACACAAAGCGATTCTTGGCATGTTTTTGGTCTTGCTTGACGTGCTCAATGACGTGAGTTCCTGTTGTAAAAGCCTACTCAAAACGAATAAGTCACTGTAGTGATTTCATCCTGTCTTGGATAGGAAAAGGCTAGATTACCAACACAGAAAAGGACAGTCTATGGCAGTAATTCTATCTCAAATGCTTGACATATTCGTGAAGAAAAATTCCCGCGTACGCGACAAATTACTCAATTCGCTTTTGATCTGAGGCCTCCCTTCTCGTCTCGATTTCATGTTTCGTATAGCGCATCATCTGGGAAGATTCCTCCATGTGCTTTGTTCATGTGATCATAGCAAGGCTTCGAATCATTGAAAGCTTCCAGACAAACCCAGCAGATGTGTGCTTTGCAAGCGCCGCAAGTCATGTGGTTGCAGCCGTCCGACTTTTGAATCGAAGTTTTGCATCTAGGACAATCTTTTATTCCTAGCTTCTTCTTGAGTTTGTCGAACTTCCTATCAGCATCTGCCGCTGCTCCTGATGTGACGTATTTGTGTTCGGCACAGGTCTTGCCGCGGTGGTCGACGTTACATGATGCGCAAATGGTCTTTGAGCACCCTCGGCAGCTGAAGACTTTTGACGGTCCTTGCAATGTCGGTCTGTATATGGCTTGGCAGTCTGGGGTTGGACACCAGCGAAACTCATCCGGGCGACTTTTGACATGACTCGTCACCGCGGAAGCAAGAAGCTCTTCGAAGGTGACCGATGACAGGGAGTCTTGAAGCTCCTGGAGTGAGAACAAGGCATTACAAGCGCCCTCGTCGGCCAGACAGCGGATGCCCGATTCTCCGTTACCAACGGTCGATTGACAGAAGTTTTCGAAACAGTCACGGCAGTACACATGTCCACATTTGACTTTCAGTGGGGTCTCAGCCGTTGTCCAACAAACCGGACAGCATTCCTCTGCTACTGCGGTTGTCTCATGCTCCTGAGGTAAACGTCCTTTGGCCAAGATATCCATAGCCGTGTCAAAAGAAGCTCGCGGACCGATGATCTCCAACCTTTTGGGTGTCTCAAGAATGTTGAGGGATACAGCTTCCTCACCCAGGATTTCGCAGATAGCCTTGAATCCTCCCCTGATGGCCCAGTGCAGACTCTCAGAGGTCAACGGTACATAGTGGATTGTGGAAGGGTTGTCGCTGAAAGACTGTAGCAATGCATCGCAAGCTCTCTGCGAGGCTTCGGGTGAGCCGAAGACGTGGATCTCGGCTTTGGACGGAGCGCACTGAAACGCCACTTTATGCTGTCCCTCGATGGGTCGAAGCCGTCGATTCGCCAGTGATTTATTATTGAAAGATGGACTCCAGAGGGGCTTCTTACCTCCAGCATCGTATACTAAGCGTCCTTCGAGTAGCTTGTCTGTGTGAGTCTCAGCTGCCGCGAGATCAACTCCCCTTTCACTCTCGAGTCTCAGTGTGACGTAGCCATTTGCCGGTGGAAATCTTTTAAAGTTGACTCTTATCGAGCGGAAAGTCTGAGCAGCTTTCTCGAAGTCTAGAAGAACCGCGCTGAAGATATGATCCGCGATCTTGTAGGTTGCAGAATGAACTCTACTGATGCTGAGTCTGTCGTCCTTGTTGAATGGCAAGGGCTTAGAATTAAGCAACCTAACCGCAGTCATAGCGTCTGCCTCGTCCGAGAAACGAGCCATCGCCTTGACTCGTTTGCCAACGGTGTCTGCATCCGCCTTGAGTCTCGTCTCCAATGGTCCAATGCCCACGAGTAGAGCTTCAACCAAGTCGACCTCACTCTTGGTATTGTCCAGGTCCTGCAGTCCCTCAAGTTTTACACTTGTGGGTCGCTGTCTCTGAGGAATCATGCTGAGAATGTCGTCCTTCGTAGCTTGTGGTGGAACGTATAGTCTCAACTTCGGTGACGAATTGGCTGAATATGGCATTCCCAAGTTGCTCCCCTGTCGGTGATGTAGCGCGTTCGACCTTGGTGCACAAGAAACCTTCGCTCCCAGCACAGTAAATATTCCAATTCCAAATTTACTGCGGACTTCACTCTCTGCAGACTCGGAACCAAAGGTCAAGCAAGCCAGTTGCTTTGGTTTGTGCCAGGAGCAGATGACTTTCTTGCGATTTACCCTGTGGGTGAACCCCTTGTTTGTATAAAGGTTGAGAGGCTTGTGCACTTCGACCTTCAATCCTGGTATTCCGGATATTTCTTGGATCTTAGGATTCTTGAACTTTTCGTAGAGTGATTGTGCAAAGTCAGGGTCTTCTGCCCGGATGATAGCACACATCAAGCCCCCTATGCCTTGAGGTCTTGCGCGAATGGCGAGACTTGGAATGTCGAACCCCGATCGACTCAGGAGTCGTGATACTGCTGCAACATCGCTTTGAGCGGGTAGGTTGAGAATGCTGGCGGAAGAAAAGTCGGAGAAGAGCGATAGCTTCTCGACAGATGCGCCTGGGCCAAAGTTTACCCAGGCACCTAGTAGCTCACGTGTGCACTTCTCTTGCGGTTCGGGCAGCTAGAAGCAGGAAATCAGCACCCATCTTCGGTCGCTTGATGAGTCTAAGGTTCCACATACCGCAACTTCACTTGCTGCTGATGCTGCTTCTCTTGGGACATTATCGTGAGAAAATGCGCACTTGACGCCACTTCTACAATTTCCCTTTGCAAAGAAGACGCAGGGGATCTTGGAGCGGGAGTCTTCCGCTACTGATCCAGTGGGCTCCACGCCTCTCAGCGCAGACTCGTGAGATGGGCCAGACGGCACGGTTTGATAGATGTGAGGGAAGGCGCATTCATCGCCTCTGGAGCAGAAGCCCTTTGCAAAGAACTTGCAGATCACTGGCGATAGGACCGCATCGGCCTTTCCGGATGCAGGCGACTTTCTGGGCCCTTCATGGACGAATGGGCAGTCAGACCCTGAGCGGCAACATCCTTTGAGATCAAATCGGCACCTTACGGCTGGCGATGGTGCCGCCGCTCGCGTTCTGACTTCCAACCAACTCGCCATCGTAAAATTCGCTCAGATTATTAATGACTGCTGGGGTAGGACCGAGGGAGGGTTGAACGCTGGACGACTGGCCGATGTAGGGTATTTTATTTAAGCCACAGCGGAGTGGCGATAGTTGAGGGACGCACATGATCCTGAGCGAGAATTGTAAGCTAATTATACGTAGTAAACAGCAGACACCTTCTCGCGCTGCTTGAAGAGGGGTAATCTCAGGACGACCAGTGAAAAGCCAGGTGAAAATCTCAGCGTATCCTTGATGCAGCGACAAGGCAAATGCAGGAGGCCAACCACGCTATCAGAGTTCGGCAAATCATGTGTGGCTACACCTCTTTGCTGTGCGGTTGGGCACAATAGGGCATCTCCAAGACAGCTACTGTCATCAAAACCGTCTCCCGTTCTGTAGTTGACGATGGCCTTGGAAGAATCTGAGTATTGCTGCGACATGGTACCTGTCGTACAAAAACGGAACCGTAATTGCCGGCCAGCAATTACGCCTTATTTACCACAGTACCTAAGTACCAAAAGTACTATCCAGATCTTCTTCGACCCAAACAACCCATTTTTTTTCCAAGTTACAGACTTCACAAAAGGGACCGAAAATGAGCGAAAGTTGTAAAGATTGATCCTCTCAAAGGGAAACACTTCTGCCAGCTCGTGGGTCGGGAATGTATGTTGCTTTCCAAGACGATCGTCAATCCATTAGTACTTTGAAGCAGGCCGAAGAAAGTGTTCTATGATCAGCTCAATATTGACATGTCCATACCGTTCTTCCTCGATAGTCGCATCCGAGCGCTTCAAAGCGTGTGCAATCTCTGCTGTCGGTATGCAGAAGACTTCGATAAACTTGTGAACCATTGAGGTCCTAGTAGAGTACCAGTCCTTGTGGAATGGTCCAGCCAAGCGTGCAGTGGCCCCATGATCGTATTCATGCTCGATCCAAGCGATGTACATAGCCAGAGAAGATCTGATTGCTCGTGTAGGATCTGGCCAGTCTACGTCTACGACCAAGTTGTGGTAGAAGCAATCGCGTTTATAATCCACCTGGTAGCCATGCTGTTCGGTAATACATGAGTATTGGTGCACGACGTCACATTGGGGGTAGAGTTCAGCATACCTTGACTTCCGCCTGCCCTTTCACACATTTCGCATCTGATCTGCTTTTTTCCTCAACCTCTTTATCAAGTCTGCTCTTCATCTGCTTGAGCCAGTCCTTAAGTAGGTGCTCAAAGTCCTTGGCACTTGATTCTTCCATCTCAGTTTCCAAAATGGCAAGAAACTCTGACTCTTCGTCGAGTATGTCGTCGACTTCTTCAGCCTGCAGGCAGAGTGGACGAGATGAAGCAACAAAGCCATAGAGGCCATCCGCTGAATGACGCTGGAAGCAAAGATGGGACATTCCAAGCTCCTCATGCTTCTCCCACCGAATGAAAGAAAGCAGCAAGTCTTTTCCTTCTTGTGCTCCTCTATATTCCACTGTGAGGCACAGAAGCTCCATCGCCGCGATTGGAGGCTTCTCCCATATCTCTTGCCACCAATGTCTGGAAGAATTCAGCAAGTCAATAACCGAGAGACGGCCAAAGGATGAACAGGGGCATCTGCAGCCATCTATAGTGAAGACATTCGCGCCTCCGGCCAGCAGTATCCGCAAAGTCTCCATAGCAATCCAGAAGCCGTAGCCTCGGCTCTTCTCCATTCTACCAAGAGCGAAGTGTAGAGCTGTTCTATGATGCAAGTCTTTGAGATTGACGTCAGCTCCGACTTCAACAAGCTTTCTGACCAGATCAGGTTCGCCCAATTCAGCGGCTACCATCAGAGGGGTTTGGCCTTTGCTATTCATATGGTTGAATAGCCTGAACCCTTGCTCCATCAAAGCCTCGAAGTCCGTGATTCCGGTGTTGTAATGTAGCAGACAATTGTCTTTAATGCCAGAAGTCACATCATCAAAGGTCAAGTTGGCTGTACGACACTTCATCAAGAGCTGCCCGAGAAAAACCTCGCGCATTTCAAGATTGCCAAGGTTGGGATATTCGACGTGATACAACAAGACAGCGCTTTCGGCCCAGCCCTCCACAATCCAATTGTCGGCAAAGCCTTCCAGGCGAACTAGGAACCTGAAGATCAACTTCCAATGTCCACGCACGGCGGCGTAGTGTAGAAAAGTACGCCCATACTTGTTATCACCTGCGTTGATGCAGGCCCCAGCTTCAATCAAAAGGGTGACGGATTCATCCTGGTTTACCGCAGCAGCGTACATCAGGGGTGTGATGCCATGGATGTCAGTCATGTTAACATCATGTCCCGAGTCAATGAGTGCTTTCAATCGTTGAGGATCCGAAACAGCCAGGTGAAGGGGTGTCTGCCCGAGGCTGTTCTTTTCGTCTTTCTTAGACTTAGATATCCATCTGGCTACTGTTTGTGTCGACTCGATCAGTATAGCCTCGTGGAGTGGTGTCATTCCAGCGAATCCTGCGTATCACACGTTAGGGGCCATTTCGTTTTCCTCGCTATTCCTCTCGAGTACAGAAATCAGTGAGATGCTTTAGGCTGAGGACTGAACTAACCTTGGTTGTGTGTGCACACTATCTTGAAATATTCGATGAAGAAAGGGTCTGGGGTAATTGCTTCTGAGATCCAGTTCGGCGATGACAGCGCTGGCCAGTCTTGAAAATCCCCAACAACTCCGGAGACATCGTAACCCAAATCGAGAAGGAGTTCCAGCAAGTACAAGTGGGGGCCTTCGCCAATTCACTGCGCGCATTGCACAAGAAACCTGTAATGACGAATCAATGACCTTAGCCATTTCACATGCTCCCAGTTTACGAGTTTGACCTACGGCACGCTGTCAGTCCCTTTGGTCATTTCGAACTCTTGCATGAAGAGTATCAGTAGTTCCCATTGAGTCTGATCATTTCCCCTTGCCCACGGATACCTCAAAATCTCCTATCATCATCATCTGTCAGAATATGGCCGTAAATGAAGCTTTGGCAAACCCACCTCGATATAGGACTTCCCACCTGGATTCACGTGGCGGCTGAAACCTTGCGGGTCTGCTCTGTAGAGCTGTCTCAGGCTTTCGCTAGCCTCTTCGAATCCAATGCTGTACGTCTGGCACCTCCATATAATCTCGAAACCTGGAGACGTGTACGGCACTATTTGCTCCATTTCGAGATTCGGACGAAGTGAGAACCTGCCTGCGGATGTGATAGTATAGACCTCAAGCACTGCTGCCCATCTAATGCCAAACTGCGAGAACGCAAGCCTCACTGAAGCTCCGTATCTTGTCGTGTTGCAGGTCTCCAGGTCGCAGCTCTGCTGCAAAGCGCCCCAAGGAGTATACTCTAGAGCCCAGAACCGATGTGTTGTCCTGTTCGTGCGATGGCAAACACAAGAGCATGGTCTCAAAAGGCAATTTCCTCTATGTTTGGCCCTCAATTTCTCTCTTCTTGGCACTATGCCAACGGAGGCGGTTGGAGATTGGGATAAGTCCGAAGCAGAAGCCGGAGCCAGCTCTGAGGCTGACTCTTCAGGAGGATTTCCTGTCGGCGGCAAGGTGTGAAGTTGGCTGACCAAGGTTAACTCTTTAAGCTGGTTCGAGTTTCTATACGTCGTGATCCTGACATTGACACTCTGTTAGTGATTGAAAGGCGGCAGAAGTATCTCCAAAGGATTATGACACGCACAAAATCATATTGATCTTCGCCCCTTGAATACTTCGCTGCAAAGCCATCACGTTTTCGTTCCAATCTCGAAAAGCAAGGAACTTAAGCGCGTTGGCCTTTACAGTACTTTTTGATGTTGGAGGTATCTTCGCGATCAGAGACTTCAAATCCCGAACAACTTGGTCGCAATCCGCTTGACAATGTTGAACCACAGAATCATTGCGATTAGAAGCATGCACAATTATATCCTGCATAACATGTGTCAAGAGATCCAGTTCTCGGATAAGGGTGCTGATATCGGTCGCAGCCTTGCCCGCATTGTCGTGGATAGCTCGCAATTTGCTGACGCCCTCACCAATCTGTACCATGAGGGACACAAAACCAGCCACTCCAGCGGCAACTCCAAAGAATTCAGCCATGCCCTGAGACGACACGCAGGAGAAAAGAAGATAAACTTTCGAGGGAATGCCAACGAGAGGGAGGATCTTGCTATAGGAAGATTTACGAAATTTTGTGGGAAGGACGAGGGGTAAAGTCAGGCTCTACGGCAGTCTGCCTCTGGGTTCGCCTTGTGTGCTGCGCCTTCATGGGACCAACCTGATGGAGGTTTCCAAGCCAATCGCATGGCCATCATGCTTCGGCACTTCTAATTAACATTAAATGACCAGGCGATGACAAATATTTGTGAATGATTGGCAGGAAGCTCTTGGAGTACCTCAATATATCTCGAAAGCCCAGTGAGAGCACATGTGGGCTTCCATTGGCTCCTATTCGCGTGCAGTCACGACAGCAGGCAGCCATTCTTGGAACATCGACGTTCCAAACAAGGGCAATTCCAGTGGAGTCGTTTACGAAAGTCAACATCGTGATCCTAGACTTCTCATCTTTTTTACACTCGTTTCTTTTTTTTTTTTCTTCTTAAACATTGAGGAAAAGAGGCAATCTCAGCATTCAAGAGTGGCGATGTTCTGTAATGATAGTCTATTCGTGTGCCTCCATGATATATTCAACCGTTTCACTTTGACCGATTCGTAGATCTGTCACTCACTCGTCGACCTCGGAGGTCGTAGATCCAGCCGTTGAATCATCGCGAGGCCTAGTCTCTTTGGCAGGTGGCTGGATCACGCCCACAACCGGGCGGTCCCCGATTCGCACGATCCTCAAGTTTCAAACCCTCTTCGCGAGGACTCATTGCTGCTCGCGTCAGAAGTTTTGCGGGAGACGCAAAGGCAACACTAGGGGCCTAATCAAGGTTGATTAGCACGATTTGGACGGATCACGGCGGTGAATTATTTGCAGTAGGTAGCTCATAAAGGACCCATACCAGTGCTGCCAGGGCGAATGCTGAATTCCTAGGAAGACTCAGTCCTAGGGCTCCGACGCTTCCAAGAGCGATCGTGCTAGCAAGTAGTAGGGCTTGAAGCCGCATTGTTGCCTTGCTTCAATTTCGTGTATCGGATAGGTTTGTCAAATTTGCGTCAAGTGACGGTCAACTGAAAACTGGTGGGAATATGGAGATGGGAACGTTCGGGTACGACTTCTAAACCAAGGCAGGGGCACTTTAAGTCTTATGTAGACCATTCTCCAGAGTCCAAGTCAGTGATGCTGATGACCTCTTCATGTTTTCAAAGAACCTCGCCCAACTTACTCGCGATATCTCAGAGGCCCAGATACAGTGGTTCTAACCAAAGGGTATCGTTCGCATGTACGTTCGATTAAACTTTCCCTTAGCGCGCGTTGATTCGGTAGTGGTTGCTCTTCAGGCCTGAGCCACGGTCTCTTCGCTCGAGTGCACTGTCCACTCAGCGCCTTTAGAGCTTCCGTTGAAGCTTTAATCATAAAACATACAGAGTCAGAAACGCTAGCGCCCACCAGGATGAAACCAGACTACGGAAATATTCCAGTTTTGCCTTGACTCAACATATCGCCGTAACGATATTTGGAGAGGAATCAGCTGAGAGACACGTAAGAGGTGCTTGGCACCTAGGACAAGGCATCGATCGCTGCAGGTATTGCGAGCGTACCCGAGATCTCAGCATCGGCGTCGGTAACTTCACTCGGGCGTAGATAGCTGCCGAAGCCGCGATCATTGTATCATTGGGCTCGATAATAATTCATTAGCTGCTCAGACGACTGTGTTGGCTTTGAAAAGTTCATTCTTCCGTAGCGCTTGCCTGAGTATTGGGAGCCATTTTTGCTTGCAAGACTACCTGTCGTTTTGGGACGTGATGACCATATTCCAGATCCGTAGTCAATCAGGGCATACCCACTATCGTTGCCTTCAAACCACCTTACCAATCTTCAGAATCGGCACAAGTTTCTTCTCGTACTCTCACTCCTACGCTGGAATGAAGTTCTCTAGTCCAGAGGTCGTCAGCGTCTCTCAACATCAGTTCCACTGGCTTTGTCCATGGCCTACTAATAAGACTTCTGTCTGAACCCATTTTGCCTCGAGATCTGCGAACTTCCTGATAATATGTTACCATAAACTTTGCCATCCACGTATGCTCGTCCAATTTGAACATCTAGCGGGACAGGGAAGTTTCCAATTTTACTAGTCAACGACTCAAATCATTCGGAAAGTAGTAGCCTGCTTTGGAGCTTTCGCATGGATCTCACTGCAACTAAGGTAGCACAGGCAGGTTAGACTATGTTACACCGAATCTCTCATCTATCCTAACTGCCATATCAAAGGATTCACACTTTTGCCTTCGTCCCGCTAACGAGTACAATAGACCTCTCAATCTCAAACGGCCCTCCGCCGTGCTTTTTCCCCAAATACTCAACAATGACAGGCTTCAACTTGTGCCTTAACTTTTCCTTTTGCTCCTCAGACCAGTATCTCTCAACGGTACCCGTAAGCAGCGCCTGAAAAACAATACAAAATTGCTCAGGATCTCTGAAAGTGATAGGCTTGGCCAGAGTTTCCGAGTCAATCTCAGTCAGTCCCGAAGCATTGTACATGGCAGCCGCGAAATAGGGATCATCCCATGCGCCAGGTGACCAAAGTCCGGTCAGATGGCATGACTTCTGCGGCCATGGCACTGGTTGCTGCCCGGGGACGCTAAGTTTTGCGACGGCATCGCGGGTATCGTAGACCTTACCTTCCGTTGCCCATGTAGAACTCGCGATACGGCCGCCTGGCTTGAGAACGCGGTACAGTTCTACTAATCAATCAGTGACAGGCCAGAGAACGATGTTTCTCCTTGACAGTTTTGTATCCTTTGACAGTGGACGCTGGCGGCGCACCTACCTGCTAGGCCCGCGTAGGGTTCAGCGACAACCATCAACGCCATGCCAACGACTATGAAGTCAAAGCTGTTCGACTCAAATGGTAAGCTCTGATGTAGTCAGTAAAGAATCCATTGTTACATCAACCATCCCTGTACAAAGAGACTCTAAACTACCCATATTGGGAGGGAGCCTGTCACATACCGCCATATCCGCCTGGACCACCGTCGTATCCGTCCAGCCGTCCTTCCCAACTCGGCCCCTGACATGTTCAATCTGACCACCACTAGAATCAGAGCAAGTCAATCTCACAAGCCCCTTCCCACCTTGCCCTGTTGACTTCAGCATCTCCTGAATGCAGGCCGAGACAACGCCTGCACCGCAGCACATATCA